CATATCTATTATGGGAGCCATCTTACTGCACATACAAATAAAAAAACTAAGCTTTAACTTAGATTGCGAAAACAAAAAATGAAGCAAATACCGGTAAAAAAAAAAAAGGCGGTTGCTTACATGAGAGAAAAGCCTAATGATGAACGAAAATATATGAGAAACACTGAGAGAGTTGAAAACGCTGATATACATAAAATTGGATTTAAAATGTGTTTTGCTTTTTTCGATTGTGTCAATCAAATTTGTGATTATCCTATAAATCCTGCAAATATCATGAAAAGTATATGTGTTAGGGGTTGGGTGGGAGGCGTGAGGTGGAGTGAAGTACAGTGGACGAATTGAAAAATTGAAAAATGGAGATGTGAAGAAGCCTGCAAATATCCTGACATGGGGGAATTGAAAAATTGAAAAATGGAGATGTGAAAAAGCATGCAAATATCCTACATTGAGAAAATAAAATGAATAAAAAAATTTGACACGATATATTCTCATCACCATTTCTTCTGTGACAGTAAACTATAAATGAGACAGCAGTTTGCTTACTGCAAACCAAAGAAATACTTTTAACTCATGCGTGCCTATGAGAGGAATAATAGTTATAATTAGAATAAACAAAGTCCAAAAATATGGAAAAATATTGTCAAAATTTTTTTAAAGAAAGATTGAATAGTTGTTCAATGTGAAATGGAAAAATATAAAATATTCTCAATAGTTGTTGCATGAAATGAAAAAATATAAAATATTCTCAAGGAACTTGTTGCAAGGAAAATATTTTCAAAAATTTGAAAGAAACAGTTGTTGCATTTAATGTTTAAATGTGTGATGTTGCAGTGCGGTGTGATGTTGCATTTAAAATGATACAGTGGTTGCGTGGCCGCCATGGTACTGACTGCAGCATTTATTAGTGTTCATTTAAAAAATTTGAACAGCGATTGAGAAAATAAAATGAATAAAAATATTTGTCTGGGTTGGGCGGGAACAATGTGTAGTGCAGTGGCGCGGAAGAACGTTGCTGCTATCCTCCTTTAATATAGTATAAGATTTTGTTGTACAAAAAACGAGGCTCAAATACCCTTTGACAAGAATGCAAGAGTTTTAGAGTTGATGGGACAATAGTAACGAGTGAAAAGATTGTGCATTGTATGGCCTAATTGTCACAATAATCAGTGATAAGACCACAACATTTTGCATCGTAGAAGCATAGGAATAACATGCAAGGGACTAGTGCCACAAGTGATGGGTAGTGGGCTAGGGACCAAACAAATGAAGAAAGTCAAAGATGCAAAACAAAAGTTGAGCCAACCCCATTTTTCAAAAAAATTATTTTGCTTTAAGAATTTATTAACAATTACATATTTTTCAATAAAATAATTTAACATGTAATTTTAGTTTCTTTTTTTCCACTTTCACATTCTTCAAAAAAATAATCTTACAAAATTTATTTTTCCTCGAAATAGGTTCAAACAAGGGCTGAAAATACAGTATCAAGATTTGTGTAGATGGGAGATTGTTGTGTTACATCCATCTTGCAACTCAAGGCTACTTATCCATTTATTGGGTCGTAAATAATTGGGCAAAATTTTGAATATGAACAATGATTTAATAATTGATTAGAGTTATTAAACACTTATTTTTATTTCAAAAACATGTAAATCTTAATTACATTGGAATCTTATTTGAAATAATGAGCTTCGATCCAAACTACACATAGAAAGGGGTGAATAGAAGATTATGCAAAATTAATACTTAATAATTAATTAGTAACAAGTTACTATTAATTATCTCTAAATGGTTAATCAAACAATCAAATTTTCCTATGTTGAAAAATTGTAGTTATATGAGAGCAATAAATAAACACTATGAATGATCACAGTGAAACCCCAACTGAATAAAAACTCCGGACACTTTGTCAGTCAACGATCTACTGTAAATGAATTAGAACTTAGAGTCCATCAAACTCAACTACCACTAGTACTTTCTGACATCTTAACTGCAATTCCCACAGCTCTCCTGGATTATGTGCTAATGCACTAACTTCCAATGTAGTTTTTAAAATCCTCCTAGATTGCGCGCTCCTGCACCAACTCCCGACTTAATGAATTCGTCTGTTTTCTATGGATCAATGAAGAACTCTACGTTCTCCAAAAACTGAAATTTTAGTCACCTTCCATTGATCTTCAACAATTTGGTATTTGGATTAAATGGTTTTGGTGTTTTCAATGCCAAGGACAAAACAATAAATTTAGGTTGAAGGCTATGGATGGAGAGAATATGAATTAATCAATGTTTTATCAATGTTCAATCTTAAGAAAAGACGTTCAAATGTGTTTTGGTATTTATACTGTAAGTTTAGGAATGAATGGGTCGGATAAAAACCTTAAAAACGCGAATTAAGATTCTTCGGATAACCTTTTGCTCGAGTGAAAGTTGGGTGATAGGCAAGCAACGGTGTGTCGCTCGAGCAAAGGCTAGGCGATGGGCTAGCGACAATGTTTCTGTTTTTGACGCTCGAGCCAAGTTGTGACAGCCTAGCGAAATTGCGGCGCCGTTTTTCCTTATTTTCCATTCTCGAACCCTAAACCTAATACAACTCAATTTATAATATTTGTAACTTACTCATTTACTTTTACAACACATTAAAACTAGGTCCTTTTGTTCACAAATTTGCTAATTACATAAAAAACCACAAGTTCCCCCTTTGGCATTTTGTGACAAAACTACGAATCTAAAGTCAAGGCAGTAAAATAAAATAAACTCAAAACACCTACTACTATCAAATCAACCATCATGACTGAACTGTGCTTTTTCTTTGTAAACATGTTTCATGAAACAAACAACTCAATACCCAGCGTAAAAGGACGAGAAACAATAATATGAATAAATATAATTCACAAAGTTAATCATTAGTCATACCAGCTAAAAATTAGATGCATTAAATCATACCAACCAAATTAAGATGCAATATTAATGTAAACCAACATACCAGAAGAAACATTGATATCATTAAATATCAAACTTAATCTAGCTAAAGCGAATACACACACCCCTTCGAAACAAAATTTTCAACATATAATAAAAAACTTTCAAGTACATCTGCCAAAATTTCTACTCCCTCTTTTTTGTCATAAATGACAAGGGACCGAAAATTAACATACAATAACCAAAAAATGTAGCTATTAGCATGCATAAGTATAAACAATGGACAGTACCCTTTTCCACATATGTAATCCAATTTAACGTGGAGTAAATTGTATAAGTGACTCATATGTGTAAAGTGTCACTAATCTTTTGGAAGTAGGACTTCAAACCTTAATTTTGTGAGAAATGATAAACACCACTTCCAATAAGTATATTCCTCTACTTATGAAAGCAAACCATTTAAAGTACATTATAACTTATACAAAAAAGCTCATTTTATATAGAAATTTCATTTTCTTCCTCTGAATTTGAGCATAAGTATTTTTTATCTTAAATGCAGGCCCGTTTTCATTAAGCGACTAAAAATGACCCATGTACCGAGTTTTAGGCCGATTAACCCAAGGTAATTGACCATAGGCACTAGGTTATGAGAAACCCCTCAAACTTAGTTGCTCGAGTCAAATAGGTTTCGAAAAACATAAGGTATTGATATTTTTACTATCGAAGATAAACTTGAGCTTATGTCTAATAAATAAGGTCAATTCATATTCGAAGTCAACTAACTAACAAGTGATTTTCATCACAAATCTCACGCACGCGGTAGAGTCTCACCAACAATATCATAGTGTGTGTAGTGCAGATGGTATATGAATACATCTATACTAAGTACTCATTGATTAAACTAAGTCAGCAATGGAAATTATTTTATAGCTCATTGATTAAACTCATACTTAATCACAACAAACAAAATCAAGTTATTTGATACAGTAATATTCTCCACCACACATTCACCCAATAAAATATTCTACACACAAACCAATAAAGTTACTTTAATTTTCAACCACACATTCTCCAAAAAATACTATTCATTACTCTATTTTTCTCTCAATAATGGAAGACAAACGC